CAACATCCTAATCCTTCTTAAAAACACAACAGCAGTAATGAAAAATAGGGACTATATCAATTGGCCAGAGGAGGGAAAAGATGATTCGGTGCTATCATATATCTCGAAGAGGAAGGAGAAAATCAGCCACTCACCTCAAATGAAATTGCAATAGCCATCACTATAAATCAACCCGTGACCGACGTTGCAGCAGGAGAGGAAAAAGAGCTTCAGCTCGCTACATGAACGAGAAGATGGAAGACCAACAATTTTTTTCCAACAAAAGAAGGAATCGAGTTACCACACACATGCAAAACCTTTTTGACAAAAAGGGACGGACAGTAGAGGGGGAAGAAGAGATAAAACCCAGCACACATTCATTCCACACCACTGATAGAACACGGTATGACAGCAACAGAAACAGGGGATGAGAGACGATGCCAAATCTCGGTAGATCTTCAGTGGAGAAGAGATGAACAGGCCACAAAAAGAGTAAACGAGAAAGGAGACAAGACAAGAGCTTCAACCACAGCTCCATTTGAACATACGAACAGACCAAAAAGAAAAGAAAAAGCTGAATCACGCACCTCAGCCATCGGACGAATAGCAGAAAGAAAGAGATCATGACAAGCTGCCAGCGGTGAGGGGAGAATGGAAGAATGACGGTGAGGTTCAGAGATGTAAATCGACGGTGAGAAGGAAGGAAGGTTCAATCTCTCTCTCTCTCTCTCTCTCTCTCTCTCTCTCTCTCTCTCATTGCTCTGTTGCTCGAATGATCTGGAAGAATGATTTAAAATCCGAACATTAGCAAATTGGAAAAATTACAAGGAATAGCACATGGAAAAATTACAAAAGAGAGCAGAAGCAAATTATAAAAAAAGGCACAATTTTTTTTATAATTTAAAAATAAATAAAATCAAACTTTTGCTTGATAAAATTTGAACTCTTGATCTTCATAAATATTAACTAGCAAAAAATTCACTAAACTATCACTTTCTATTTGATATATAAAAAAATTAAATAAAATATCCATTGGGAGAAACATTTTGTTAAATTTAAAATTTAGCGTCATTACATTACCCTTCTTGGATGCTGTCATATTTGGTTTGGAAAATTTAATTGTTGCTTGGTTGATGTTATGCATTAAGCTGAGTATGATGATAGAGAGTTAATGTTGGGAATTGATTAATTTGTTGGATATTTATTGTGAACTAAACTTGATGCATGAAGGTGATTGTAAAAATGTGTGAAAGAAGAATTTGGTGGAATGAAGTTGGAAGAGAAGAGGTTAGATATGATGATGAGAGATTAGTGTTTATAAGATGCTTGTTAAAATGTTTGTTAGAAGAATTGAATTCGATTTTGAAATTTCTTCGATTCTTGTGAGAAATAGAGTTAGCTTAGAAGTTATTAATTTATAAATTTAACTTGAGAGATGCAAAGGACATTTGATTATGAAATTAATACTATTAGAATTCTTGGAGATCGATACCTTGTTGAGAACATATTTAAATAGTATAAAACTTTGGTTTAAAGTTTTAAATTTATTATAGTTGGTTATTGGTGGGAATGTTAAAAAGGAATTATTATACTGGTTGAGAGTTGAATAGAATTTTAATATAATTTATAGGATATTTAAAAGAAGAGGAATTTGATTAAAGTTGAAAGGAGAAATTGAACTATAAAAATTTTAGGTAAGTGAATAGCATTCCCTTTAATTTATTTTTATTTGTTTTTTTTATTTTAATAGATTTTCATTGAAATTTATTATTCTTATGAATTACCTTAGTTTTGAAACTTTGAAATATCGATGCGGGATGGTTAAAGGATGATGTACGCATTTATTTCCTCAAGAATATGTTTCAAAGATTTATGAAGTTATTTGGTTAATTAAAATTTTAAAATCCTTGATTATTTAGATAACGCAAGCTTGTATATTATTTTATGAAAGACTATTTTCAACAAGTTTTAAATTAAAATTTAAAATGATGTACGCAAGTTTGGTATTGAAAACATAGATTGTATTTCAAAAATGATTATTCTTCTTTCATGTTTGGAACGTGATTTTTGAAAGGACTCTAAACAGAACATTGCTGCTAATGACAATTCTGTTAGCTCGTAGCGCGCTGTGGTTAAACACTAGCTAGTTTGGTTCGTGAGTTGTGTTCTCATGTTTGGTATTCATGGGCTTTGTATCCATGTTTGATTTCATGGCTTGAGCCGTGTTTGGTTATTTACCCTCGTGGACCGTGTGTCCACATTTGTTTCGTAGCTTTGGCTGCATTTGGTTACTTACCCTTCTGGACTGGTGTGTCCACGTTTGTTTTCGTGGCATAAGCGGCGTTTGGCTATTTAATCTTGCGGACTGTGTGTCCACGTTTGTAACCTGTTTTGTTGAGTTTTCAAAATTTTAAATGTTGATTAATATGTGTTTTCGAAATTTACATGATTTTGGCTAGAAAATTTATCACTTTGAGTTATATGTGAATAAATTGTTTTCTTTAAGCATGATAACACAAATTGTTTTCAATTTACTCTTATTTTACAGGCTTATAAATTTTTTGTGAAATTATTTTTAATTAATTGACACCATTATTAGAGTTTGTTGATTTAAATTTTAAGAATTTTACCATAGGAATGCTATTTACTGAAAAAATTATTTTAGTTTCAGATTTGTTAGTTGACGCTGATCCCACCATCAACCTCTAAAGGACAAAATAGTTACAATGGGTGAAAATTTTTGATTGGTACTGTTACTTTTAATATGAATATATAATTCGTATGTCTTTTTAATTTAAAAAAAAGATTAGATGCTCCACATAGGTTGTTGATAAATTTTATTTTTGATTTGTATATTGATTGCTAGCTAGGAGGAGCTACGCTCCTAATTTATACTGTTATCTGTAAAAAAAATTGTTATTGAATTTTTGAGAGATCCTAGTTACAAGGGAGGTTTTGCCGAAATTTCTACAAAAACGTTAAAGTGTTCTTATGATAAGTAATATTAATATTAAAAGTGTTATGAATTCTATATAATCTAATTATAAAAACATGAATTGAATTTTTCATGTCAAGGCTTACGGGAATGCGCGATATAGTTTGCGCCCGTACCGATCACCCTCTACTTTCGGGGCATGACAACAATAATCATATAACACCTAAAAGTTATTTTAATTTTTCTGTTCTCTAGAACAATATTTTATTTTTTTATTCTCCAAAACACTTTTTAAAAACACGTTATCAAACAATTTTTTTTGTTCTCTTGTTTTAGAGAACGAAAAACTGTTCTCAGTACAGGTTTCCAAACAAGCCCTTTGTTTGTTTATGTATTTTCTGAAATTGCGATCACTCTTATAAAGCATGTTTGATTTGAATATTAATTATTTGTGAGTTTAATTTGAGTATTGTGAGAGATTTGTTAAATACAGAGTGAGTGTGTCATTAGAGGAATTCTTAAGAGTTATATTGTTGCATACAAAAGTGAGTATATAAAGTATTGTAAGGATTGGAGAAACTAAGAATTGGTTAAATAAATTATAATGATTTGAAATCCAATTGATTATAGTGTTGCCAATATTGAAATATAGTTTTTTTAGCTAGAGTAAGACCATTAAATTGTTCTTGATCTAGAATAAGGTGCTTAGAGGAAGGGAGATTTAAATGAAGTCTTAAGCAATGAATTCTAGTATTTGGGCACACTAAAAGGTAAGTGATAGCGTCTCCATTGATTTATTAATAAAATTACTTTTTTGAAATATTATATTTTTATGTAAATTATTTTAATAACAACTTTGCTAAGTGTGAGATATTTTGTAATTTAAAATATCTTTATCTCATGAAATTATTTTCATCAGCTTTAGCAATTTCTAGTTTCTCAGTAATGCAAGCATGAAAATTTGTTATGAAATTTTATTCTGACAAGTTTTAATCCTTAAAAACAATCCATTTGAGTTTGACTTTGAGAATGCAAACTGTATTTTAACAGTGATGATTTTCTCACATGTTTGAAAATGAATTTGGAGAAAACTTTATACAGAATATTGGTTACTAATGGCAGTTCTGGTAACCCTTGGCATGCCTTAGTCAATGACTAGTCTCATACTCGCGTTTGTTTTCGTGGCTTCAAACCACGTTTGGTTAGCATTACTCTCGTAGACTGTGCGTTCATGTTTGTCTTCATAGTATGAGCCATGTTTGGTTATTTACCCTCATAGATTGTGTGTCCATATTTGTAAATTGTTCTGATAAATCTTCAAAAGTATGAATTTTTAATTAATTGATGATCTCATACTTTAATTTTTTTAGTAAAATTATATTATTTTTATTTATTTAATCTATTTGATTTGTCAAGATTGAATGTTAAAGATATTTTGTTATTAAAGATTTAAAGTTTCATGGCATTGAAGTTGCATAAAAATTTTATTCTAATCTTACCAATTTTATTATATTGTATTGCTTTCTCTTTAAATTGCAAAAACACTGCAAAAATTCATTTTTAATGCTACAAATTTTATGGTTGGGACGTTACTCACTAAAAAAATTTTTTTTGTTTCAAATACATTAGCTGGTGTTGTATCTTTTGTTGATCATTAAGGGGTTTTAGTATTGAGTTGAAGTGAAGAATGGTAGATCAAGTCTCTTTGATGTAAATTTAAATTCACATATTATGTTTTGTTAATATTATATTAGGTGCTTCACATTAGTTATAGTTAGGTCCTTATTTTCTTAAATATTCCATCTGCTGGCTAGAAACAGTTGAGTTCTTGGTTGTTATGATATTTGTCTGAATATTTGTGTTATAAAATTTTAGAAGGTCCTATATATGGAGGAGATTCTGCCGGAATCTTCACAAAAGTATTAATGATTCATCTTAAAGAAAAGTATTTTCAAAAATGAAAAATTTCTTGAAGTAGGAAAGGGATGTGTGATCATGGGTAAATCCTGTGTCAATCACGTCTATATTTTCGGGCTTGACAGTGTATCTTGGAATACATGATCCGGACAGTGTATCTTGGAATACATGATCCGAGAAAGTCAGAAACCATTGAAACTGTAACAAAAAACATTGTTTTTTTTTTTTTAAGAAGCCAATTGCATTGCCCAACCAAATCAATCCACGGATCAATACGACCCCAAGGAAACTTGTGGGTGTGACTTAATGTTTCTGGTCACTTCTGTTTAATAATTCAACTTTGTTCACGCCAACACAAGAAAAGACAGAATAATAATAAAATAAAACTTATATGCATATGACTACAAGTTTCTAAACATGTAAACAAAGGTGCTCGTCCACTTGCCTATCGCAAAACCCATCGAGAAAACAAGCAAGCAAGCGTAATCATGAATCATGAGCTGTCTCCTTGTCAAGCATGTAAGTTATGCTTTGCATTGTTGGTCGAGATTGGGGGTTTGTTTGTAAACAAGAAATAGCCAAATTACTTATCATAGCCAATTCCTTCAAGCTTTTTTCCTTTGTTGGAGGTGACAGACGTGGGTCTAAAATATCTTTGAAGTTGATGTTTTGAAAACCAGATGCTTGTAAGTGGGAAATTAGATCTGCTGGATGATTTCCCATGAGAATCTCAAAAGCTAAAACGCCAAAGCTGAACACATCACACTTTTCAGTCACTGCCATTGTGTATGCAAGCTCTGCTCCAGCCATTTGGAAGTCATCATTGGCCAATTGCATTAATGACAAAATGAAATATGAAATTATATTGGTCAATTTCTAAAAATAATCCATACTGGAAGAATTTTAAGAAATTAGAAGTTTGAAACTAATGTGACTGCTCTAAAATATCAGCTCTCAAACTTAAACATTAGTAAAGTAGAAAAATTTAGGAAATTTTTGATGAACTTTTGCGGTTAAAATATGAGTCTGCTTTTGTGAGAACTAGTTACAAGTTGTGAAGGAGAATGTGACGAGTTAATTTAAACCTTAATAGAGTGAGAAATAGGATAAGAAGCTAACCTGGAGCAGCATAACCAAATGTGCCAGCAAAGGAAGTCCAGATAGATGAATCTGGCTTCAGGAACCTCGCAGTGCCAAAGTCTGAGATATGCGCTTCTAGATTTTCGGACAATAATACATTTTTGCTTGATATGTCTCTGTGGATTATTGGTGGGTTACAATCATGATGCATGTAAGACAAAGCCTGCGCTACTCCTTTGACAATTATAACTCTCTTTGGCCAATCTAACTCAATAGCTTTTTGGTCATTTGTCAGCATATCAAGTAAGCTTCCTTTTTCCATGTACTCATAAGTCAGAAATGTGTGCCTGGGGTCTAAGCAAAATCCATACAACTTAACAATGTTTCGGTGACGTATCTCAATCATGGCTTCTATCTCACTTTTAAAGGATTTTACACTTTCAAAGTCTAAGCTATCTGCCTCACATCCTAACTTTTTTACAGCAACTACTTGGCCTCCTGGCATCTGCGCTCGGTAAACTTTTCCTAATGTTCCCTCCCCAATGCAGCAGGCGTCATCAAAGTTCTTAGTGGCTTCAATTATGTCTTGATAAACAATTTTACCATTGAAATGCAGTATAGAAAATGGATTTTTGTTCTCATTTGCCGGGATCTGTTTCATAGCTCTTGTCTTGCAGCCAAAAACAAAAATGCAAAGTAAAGCTGATGAAACAAGCAGTGCACCTCCCAACGAACCAACAATTGCTGCTATGACTTTCTTCTTGTTGCTTCCACTTCCAGGTTCTATGACTGAGACATTGCAAGATTGCAGGCCTTGTATATTCCCACATAATTCTTTGTTGTTACGTAAATCAACTGGATAGGAAGAATTAAATATGCCACTATTAGGTACGTGACCCTCCAAATTGTTGTGGGAGAGGTTAATGCTTGACAAGCTCAACAATTCACCAAGGGAATCGGGGATAGGACCAGATAGATTGTTGTGAGAGATATTCAAGATTATCAAATTTTTGAGCTTACCAAGATCAGATGGAATTTGGCCAGAAAGTGAATTGTAACTGAAGTCCAAAAGAACTTGCAAGGCTGCCAGATTTCCAATTTGGTATGGGATTGTTCCATTCAACTCATTGTTGCTCAAATTTAAACTCAACAAGTTTGAGCATTCCCCTATCTCATAAGGGATTGATCCTTTTAGCATGTTTGCTGACAGGTCTAATGTTTGCAAATTAGAAAACTTTCCAATGCTTGCGGGTATCAATCCTGAAAGTTTGTTGCCACTCAAAGATAGAGTGAAAAGGCTAGAGGAATTCCCTATTTGTGAAGGAATCTCTCCTGATATTTGATTGGAGGACAGATATAGCTTTGCTAGTTGGTTCAACTGAAAAATCTCATCAGGTATAGTGCCACCTATTGAATTTCCAGACATACCAAGATATTGCAAATTTTTGCATCTTGCCCAATTTGAAGAGATCTCACCTTGCACGTTATTGTAGCTAAAGTCCATGTAACTAAGATTAGGATACACTCCAAAATCTTGATCTGCATAACCCCTTAGTTGGTTATATTCCATCCGAACCCTATATAATGACGAGCAATTTCTCAAGCTTATTGGGATCGGGCCAGTGAAACTATTGTGCTCAGCAGTGAAATTGACAAGTTTACCACCTTTGCACACTTGCGGTGGTAGCTCTCCTGTGAAGTTGTTTTCAGCAAGATGCAGGACAGTTAAAGATGAAAGGTTTCCAAATTCTTGTGGGACAGGACCATCTAATTTATTTATGTGTAAGAACACCTCAGATAGGTTAGTCAATCCACCAAAACTAGGAGGAATCATGCCTGAGAGTTGGTTTTCAGACATTCTAAGAACACTTAAATGTGTACAGTTCCCAAGAGATGGAGGAATAGGTCCATAGAAGCTATTCCCATCTAAGGCTAGCACAGTTAAGTTTCTTATATTCCCTATTTCATCTGGAATTCTACCACCAAGCAGGGTGTCCTGAAAGAGAAGATTTCTGATCCCTATCAGTCCACTCTTGGGCTGATCAGAACCATCAGGAAAAAGACGAGGGTCTAATGTCCCGGTAATATTGTTTCGTGAAACATCAAGCTCGTAAACTTGAGTCAAATTAGCAAGAGAAATAGGTAAAGTGCCATTGAGGTAATTCGTAGAAAGGTCAAGGTATTGCAGTTTGGAGAGAACCCCAATGTTTTCTGGTATACTACCAATGAGGTTGTTTGTTTTAAGATCAAGACGAAGAAGATTTGGAAATGCAGAGAAGCTCAAGTATTGAAGGGTACCTTTAAGGCCAGTGTAAGCCAAGTTTATTTCAATCACACTTCCTGAAGAATTATCACATGTTATTCCACGCCATGAACAAGGGCTTTGAGCTGCACTTGAGTTCTGTGCTGGAGAGACCCATGACTTTAAGATTGGCTGATCTGGGAGACTGTCTTTCCACCTTAGAAGGGCTTCTGTTTCAATCTGTTCACATGTTCTTAAACAAATTGCCAAGAAAACCACACATGTGGCTTGAACTGCAAGGTGAGCATCAAATTTATGCTTGTCCATTTTTATGAAACTGGTTCTCTCTCTCTCTCTCTCTCTCTCGCCCTCCCTCTTATTTTTTTCTGCACGTATTTATGTTGTTTTCTGGGGATTTAAACGGGACTCTAGTTTGTTACATGAATTGACATTATGCATTATGTAGTTAACTTTGCATGGGAGCATGGCAGCATTTGTTCTCGATGTCAATCAGATAAGTAGAGCAGAATTTAACTTTTGAATTATATAATATTCTATCTACAAGCACTTCGTGGATTCTTATTGTTTTGGACCTTCCTTCTACTTTTAATATTTTTCTCTAACCTTCTGATTTGGATGGGAAGAAAGGTTGAGAGGAAAGAAAATAAAAGGAGAAAAAATGAAGGATAAAAAATGAATATAACTGAAAAAAAATGTTATCATTTCTTATAGTTTGGATTGACAAGAGAAAATTGAGAGAAAAGAAAATAGGCAAATATCACGAAGATTATAATATCCTTATATTAAAATACATCATGTTTTATGTAATTATCATTATAAAAATAAATTGAAGGTAGAATTAAATTAAAATCCATATCATAAAATTAATCTAAAACCAAAATAATTGTTAAAAAATGTATTTCAATGTAATTATATTTAAAAACAATAATTTTGTGAAAAATATCTTATTTTTATTTAATAAAATAAATATATATACCATATATATATATATATTATGCACTATCCAACATATCAATAAAAAAAACTAGATTATCCATTATTATCAATAAAAAACTACAAATATCTAGCATAGAGACGCAACAAGCATGGAATTGCAAACGAAAAAAGTGGGGGGCAGGGAATGGCATACCAGTGAAAAATCAGCTAGCAAATCCGCAAAAACTCAACATGGCAGACCAGCTTCAAAAATGATTTTACTCCAAAAATGGAAAAAGAGGAGAGAGGAGAGCAGATGGGGAACGAAATTTTACTCCAAAATCTCTACATTTGTGAGAGCAAATTTGGGGAGTTATTTTGAAATAATTACTATATAGTTCTAATTATATATGATATAACCATTATATAAATGAAACTATATAGCAATTATTTTAAAACAATTGCTATATAGTTTGCTAAGAACCAGTAAAAAGCTAATTAAAAATGGAGTTAACTAAGGATGTGGATTCTCTCCATACTCTCGCTCAATACATTTTTTTCATACCCAATTTTAACCATTCATTTAATCGTTATATTTTGATTTCATGGTGTGAGATTACTAATTATAACATTAAAATAAATATGTCATTCGCTATCATCACTTAAATACTTTTAAAAAGAAGATCACAATGCTTATTAATGATAACCATTAAATGACTAGTATATTTATTTTAATGCTGTAATTAGCAATCTCACATCATTAAACTAAAACAATAATTAAATGAATGGTTGAGGTGGGTATGCAGAGATGTATTTAGAGAAATTATGTCAAAACTAGAACAAATTATATGACTTATACTCTGAAGTATATAGCATTAGAATATATAACAGTTAAAAATTGTTATATATATTGATAAAAAAAACTGCTATATAGGAATTTTTTGCAATAGTGCAATCCCAAACCCATGAGGTGAGGCAATGAGAGAGTACTAATACTAAAGTCCCATGCAATGATACATGGTTTTTTTATATAGATTTTAAGTTACCAACACACTAGGTGATTAATACTATTGACAACCTAATCAATTTGAAGGATAGATGGAAGGATGAATTAAGCAATGTTCATGATTAGTCAATTACAAGGAAAATAAATTAACATAATTTAAAGGAGGGCAAAAGACAAAAGGAGGTCAATAATTGTCAATTAAAAATAGGGCAAAAAAAAGACAAAAGGAACGGAATTAAAGGAAAAGTAAAAGAAAGAAAGTAAAGAGGAAAAAAGGAAATTAAGAAGATAAAGTGAAAATGACAAAAATGGAAAAAACAAGAATAATGAAGTTGCTAAGAAAACAAGTAATTAATTTAAAAAGAATACTTTTTTTTTAAGTATAGCTTAAAAACACCACTTTGACAAAAGAAAAAAGAGAATAATAAAGTTGGTAAAAAAAAATTAATTTTGAAATAATATTTTTTCCTGAATAAAGCTTAAAACACGACTTTTCCTAGCATTCAAAGGACGCTGTAAATAAAAAATAGTTAGTAAAATAAAAATAAATGAACATGATTTAAAGAAAGACAAAAGAAATAAAGCAAAAGGAAGTAAATATTTAGTCAATAATTCCGAAGGAAAAAAGCAAGAAAACTAAAATACAAAAAGTAACATAGAAAAGAACGTTCGTCATTTTCCATTAAAATTAGCTTAAAACTGGTGGCCAAGTGATCAATTAATGGCTAGTGTTGAACAACCTTTAAAATAAGTTGAGTTCTATGGTGTTTTGCTTGAAGAATATGACATTCATCGATTATCTTATTATTATTTTATTTCCAATTAGTTTGTAATGAATATTTATTATCTTTTAAATTTATTTATAAACATTGTTAATATCACTTTTTATATAGGGAAAATTGCACTCAAAGATCGAGGAAAAAAGTTATTTGCAGACAAGGATCAATGACATGTAATCATTTTAGAAATGACAAGGTCATATTCTCATTTAATAAAAAAAAACAATTAATTTCTTATTAATCTTATATGTGAATAATATTCCTCACATGTCCTCGAATGAGATTTTTCTATTGTCATATTTAATAGTTAAGTTTTTTTTTTGTTGGTTTTAGCAACAAAACATCACCTCTACAAATAGTTTATTGCTTCTGTGAGTGACAGAAGTTTCACAGCAATCAATAAAATTGATCATCATTCGATGTCCATGCCCCACACCCCACTAAATTGTTATTTTTTTTTAAAAAAGTTAGGAGCAGACAGTGATTAACTCTTATATATAACAAGCCTATCTGAGTACGAGTCACTATTAATCAAACTTTAACTAAGAGAAAAACAAAATTTATTACTTTCTCTGTCTCAAATTATAAAATATTTTAGGAGAGATTTAACATCTCAAAATATAAGACACTTTGAGAAGATCAAAATTTAATTAAATAAATTTATTTCAATATTACTCTTTGTTTCTCTCTAATAATTAAGTGTAAATTTATGGATATTAAATGAAGAGTATTTTTGAAAGCTTATATTTTTGTTTTAAAAAAATAAAATTATTAATTATATTTAATAAAATTTATTGATATGTGAGATTTTCTCTGAAAATGTCATATAATTTGAAACCGAGGCACTATTATTTTAACACTCAGCAAAGTACATATCAATCAAGAAAAGTGGCATGCATACATCCATCTACATATGAACATGACTCGTTCGCTATGCAAATTGTTCACGGCAAATTCATAGTATGAACAAACAGCACAATTCATTCTCAACTCAATTATGAGCAATCTCTTGTTCATGGCTTTAGCATATTAGCTATGCTTTGCATGGTTGGCCGATTGAGAGTTAATTATAAGCATGAAAGGGCTAGACTGTTAATCAGATCCAAGTCCTTCAAAATTTGGTTCCCCGCAGGTGGTGATAGACGTGGGTCTAGGATCTCCGTTAAATTGACGCTATGAACTCCAAATGTTTGTATGTCAGAAATCAGATCACCTGGATGCTTGCCCATGAGAACCTCATCAAAACACCAAAGCTAGACGCATCACATTTCTCAATCAACTAACTGTTGGAGCTAACTACAAAAAGAAAAAAAAAATTGTCGCTAACTATCGAGCGATTTTTGTAAAATAACTGTTATATATTTGGTAAGTATATAATGGTTACTTTCAGAAAACCCTTATATAGGAAAGGTTCATGGGACTCAAAACTGGAGCAAACTATGTAACGGTTATTTGTAAATACTGATTAAAAACTATTATATATATATATATATATATTGGCAAACGTAAATGGTATAAAGAGACCTTTTTGTAATATACAATCCCAAACCTATGGGGCGTGAGGCAATGAGTGGAATAAGACCACAAATAAATTTCCTACTCCAATGAAATGATACATGACCTTTTTATATATAGATTTTAGGGTTACAAATTAACTAGGTGATTAATACTGTTGACAATCCTGATCAACTTGAGGGGTTGTTGGAAGGATGAATTAGTCAAGATGATTGGTTTGCTATCGAGTTAACCATTATAAGAAAAAGAAATCAACAAAATTTAAAGGAGGACAAGAGAAGGAAAGCGATCTATTAAATGTGTTCTGCTTAAAGATAAATGTGTACTGCTTGACCTGATAATTTCTTGGCTTCCGGACTTTTATTTACAGAGAGAGGGGGGCAATAATTGTCAATTAAAAATAGAAGAAAAAGGACAAAAGAAACGAAGTTAAAGAAAAAAGCAAAAGAAAGAAAGTAAAGGAGAAACAGGAAAGAAGATAAAGTGAAAAGGACAAAAGAAAAAACACAATAACAAAGTTGGTAAAATAGAAAAAGAAATGGACACAACTTAAAGGAAGACAAAAGAGAAAAAGCAATAGGAAGTAAACATCTAGTTAAGAAATCAGAAGGAAAAAAAGCAAGGAAACTAAAATATAAAAAGTAATATAGAAAGGAAAACGTTCCTCATTTTCCATTAAAATTAGCTTAAAATTGGGGGGAAAAGGACCTTTTTTGGTCTTTTTCCTGAACTGCTAACTAATCTGAGTTGACTCATTTCCCTTAACAACCCTGCATTTGAAGGACGTTTGTGAATGCACCAGCTGCTGGAATAATGGTTGCCAGGTGATCAATTAATGGCTAGTGTTGAACTGCCTTTAAAATAAGTTGAGTTCTATCGTGTTTTGCTTGAAGATTATGACATTCATGGATTATGTTATTATTATTTTATTTTCAACTAGTTTGTTCTGTATATTTATTATTTTTTAAATTTATTTATAACCATTCTTATTATCACTTTTTATATAGGGAATATCACATTCAAAGACCTGAGAAAAAAGTTATTCACAGACAAGGATTCATGACATGTGATCATTTCAAAAAAAAAAAAAAGAGTTCATGTTCTCATTTAATAACAAAAAAAAATTAATTTTTATTTTTTTATTAGTCTTATCTGTGAATAATATTTTTTACGGGTCCTCGAATGAGATTTTTCTTTTGTTATA